AAATGGAAGCCGTGTTTAGGGATGCTTGGATCAACTGCGAAAGTTGATGTTGAGGAAGAAGACAAAGGCCTCTTTCTTCTTACCTCACTTTCAGATTTGTACGAGAACCTTGTGAAACTTTACTGCAAGGAAAGAAACAGTAAGTTTGGAGCAGGTGCAAGCTTCTTTGGTGTGGAATGATACACACAAGAGACCATGGATGATGGTGGGCACAAGACTGCTTAAGCTATTCAAGGTTGAAATCGTGGAAGAAAATTGGAAAGAGGATCTGAGAGAGACAGCAGGTTCGGATCCGGTTCCGGAGGCAAGGGTCCACAGTGCTACGGGTGCAAGGCCGGGTTAGCAAGTTTGTGGTGGAAGACTTTGAGTATGCCCTCTAGGTACTCGAAGCAACACTTCTCCTGGTGATGTTTAGTCTCAAGTGTTGCAGGGGTTTTGCAGCAGGTGGAGCTATGGGATTCACAAGTGATGAGAAGGTCCTGAGGTAGGAGGAAGTGTGGGAATTTTGTCTGGCTCGATGGGTTGTTGCTGGAAATAGGCGCGCTGACGAGTTTCCAGGTTGCAGACAATGAAGAGGAGGAAAACCTGCTGAAGGAGACGAGGATGTGTTGAGATCCTGTCTGAAGCTAAATGGTGATTTTTTAGCTTGCAGCAGCTGCACATGCATTGGCAGTAACTGAATCGGAACAGGACCAACGAGGTGGATTCAGAGTGTGCATGCTGGTACGTAAGGCCAATGGGCTTTGGTGATGGGTGCAAGGATTTTTGCATGGTGTATTCGCCAAGGTGGAGATTGTTGTGATTGGCTCATATTATGAGTTGGCAACAATTTCATCTCAACCATGTGGAGTGCTAGCTACTTTCGGCTAAAGAAAGGGACAAAGAAAAAGGGGGACATCATTATGATGTCTAGCCCTTGATTTGTGGCTTTTACAAAGGCAAAGATTTGGCCTTGTGTGATGAGCCGAAAGAGAGAAGAGGAGAGAGAGAAGGCGGGGCCTTTTGTTTATATTAAGGCATTTGGTTATGCCTTTGTGATGGGAAAAAGAGAGCATCCAAGGGGGAGAGCATTCGGCTCTCCCATGGAAGGTTGAACATGGGTTGAGAGAAAATTGTTGCCAACTCATAATATGAGCCAATCACAACAAATTGAAACCCTACATGTTTCTCCATCCCCTAAACTACAGCTTCATAAGAATTAATTACTGCATAGCCATATGAGTGAGGCAACATATATACTAGCTAAAATAGAAATATATTCAACATGATCCAATCTCAAAGGTTTAGTATAAGTACAACCCCGAACCAATTGCGCCTACATTTGAACCAAAGATAGCATTTGATTAAACGATTTTAAATTCAGATCGCGGAATCAACAATGTCAGAAACATTCTATGTTTATTTGTAATCATGTATTTTATGCTTTTGATATATGTTGCCAAAGCAACCAAAAAAAACAATCGAACCGGAAAGTCCATAATTTATCAATGTAAACATGGATTAGTAGAATCAAATTAGATAAAACTCCCAAAACCCCATAAATCTAGGATCCCAAAATATAAGAAAGTCCCACTAAAATGCAGCAAAATTTGATACAATCACAAATGCACATTGGGTGAATCAGGTGGTGATGGGTCAAAACCTACAATTATGTACCAAATTTATCCGCCAATCCTGGTTGAAATAATCTGATCTGAGATCCAACAATGCATTTCCCTAATTAATCAACTAATTAACAAAAGCACAAAACATAGACAGGCGAAAACTCTGTTATCTTCTCTGTTCCAAACGGAGTTTCCTTTTATGTTCCACAAAAATAAACAAAATTCAAAATTAATCATGGGCAAGTTTCTAAATCTCCAAATTTTGTAAAAAAATCCAAAACTGAAACCCATTCTGCTAAAAAAATTTAGCAACAATCCAACATATTTCAAATCTGTAAAGTTCCAGAATTTATAAAAATCTGAAATGGGTACTTACCAACTCGAGTTTAGAAGGTCTCTCCAATTCGGAGAGGTCAAATTGCGAGGTCCGGATACATGGAAAGCGTATGGATGAGCAGCCTCAGCTGCCGCAACTTCCTTAGCTATCTCCTCTCCGCCGCCGTGCTCAGTCATTAATGCACCGCCACCAGAAACAGCACCGCCTCCTTCTGCAGCTTCTTCTTCCTCTCTTTGTTCTGGTTTTCTTTGCATGATGAGGGGAGAGAAAGAGAAGGAGAGAGATGGAGTAGGGGTACGGAAAAGGAAGGTGAAGTCTTTTAGTTGGTATCTGATTCGAAGAAGTCGATGGGAAATAGGACTATCGGCTTCCCTTTTAATTTTAATTTAATGATTCGAAACGCCTGGATTTTGTAGGCCTGCAACGGTCATATTACTGGCTATCTCGGTGGGTTCAATATCAAATGACCATATCACCCCTGCTCGATTTCAAGAAAAAATATCCTTATTGAAAAACAAAAATGTTCAATTCTCGGATAGAGAAAAATTCAAAAATGTAACATATATCATGAAAATCATTTTTTATTTTTTTAAATTTCATACAAAGAATATAAAATAATTGGCTTGATTTAAAATCAGAAGCATAAAATACATTTCTTAGAGGGCACTAAGGCCGAAGGATGTTTTGGTCATTTGACTGTCCTTCTTGGAGTGTTAGCGTTTGATTGCACGCTGGATTATGTTGGGTCCCCGGTCAAAGAAAATCAAATTGAATATTGTGAATTTAGGATATCCTCAGGATCCTTCCTCAATGGTGATCCTTTGGTCCATAGTGGCTTACTTAATCTAGAGGTTAAAAATATTTGGGAGCCAAGCCAACAACATAAGTTGCAATAAAACAGCCAAATCAAACCAACCCGTCTCCATTAGGTTGGCGAATATTCTAGATTATGATTCATACAAATAGTGGCGTAGTTAGGATTTTCAAATAATGGGATCATAATATTAATAAATAAAAAATGTCATTGGGCTATTTCGTCGAGCATCTTGTATGCACCTGTCAATTCCTGTCAAAATATGTTGAAAGTTTATGCCAACATACGTTGACAACTATTATTATTTGTAGAGACTTGTCTAGGGTGGATGCTAGATATAGAGTAATGTTGAAAACTATCAAGACTTTTCAACTAAAATATTTCATCAAGCAAATAATCACACAATAATGTAATTGGAAGTTAGCCCCCATGGTGAAAAAAATTGGATTTACCACGAGGATTTAAATCTGATTTTTTCACCATGAAGGCTATCTTCCGATTACTCTATCACCACGGGGACCGGTAATTCAATTTAGCGTAGAAGAAAATAGAAGAAGTAGGAGGAGGATTTTGTAATTTAATTTGCCTTAATTGTTTATAGATGTCAAATATAATACACAAACAAATATACATGCGGTTTTCGAAGTGTTGGGGGTCAAGAACAACTAATGATCTCATGCTAGCTCTACCATACATACTAATGCGAGTGAAATGTATAATTTGTATTGAGTTGATACTTAGTTATAATTCATTATAACTTGTTATGTATAGATTAACACTGAGTTATAAAATAAATAACCGAGAAATCAGATCGAACTAGAGTTAGAAAACCGAAAAAGAAATAATTGAGTTGACTAAATAAGTCAAAACTCAGATCAAACCAACCTTCCAATTTGGTTCTTCGATTTGAAAAAAATGAAAACCGACTTACCAAACTGAACCAAAAATTAATCACTAGATAGATTAAGACTGATCCTAATCACAAGATAGATTAGTTTGATTCAATTAGGCTACTAAGTGTGGGTGAGAAATAATAGTTTTTTTTAGTACAACGATATATTTTAAAAAAAGGGGAAGGGAGAGTTTGGCTAAGCTACGTAATATAGACAACTTAATTTGGTATCGAATTCATCATCCATTAGATTGGAACCTAAAACTTTTCACTCATAATTGAAAAGGAATATCATCGTACCGTAAAAAAATAATAGTTATTTTGCCTCACAAATATTTGTTTAATTTTCCACATGGTCAAAAGACACGTTCAAGTGGTTTATGTGTCAATATGTGGAGGAGCAATTTCCCGCATTTATTTTAGTCCATATAAAAAATAAATTGAGGTGTGGGTGTAATGCGACAGGAGGCACAACTGAAGTAATAGCCTCAAAGGCCTCCATGGCCAATGAAGAACCTTGTAAACTCACACAACCAAATCTCATAGAATTATGGCCCTGAATTTAATTGCTGCTTCTTCATTTTCTTCTTCTTTTAGTCCTCCTCCTCCTCCTCCTCCATTTCTAAACCCAAAGCACAAACCCCACCTCAAGTTGTATCCTTTAGAACATATGCAGCTCATTCGTCAGACGGAACTGAGAGTTGGGTTAAAGAGGAAGACCCTCCTGCTTCTTTCTCCGGTATACTTTTCGTTAGCGTACTATCGATTTAGTTCTTATGTCATCTGGGTTCGAAAAAGTATGCTTCTTCATTATTTAAAACACTAAACTTTACTGGATAAGTCACTTTGTTTGAAGTGATCAAACAAGTCCTCTATTTGATCAATTTAGTCAGCCCTTGAGCATATCAAGAACACTGGAGATGTTAGTGGCTTCCTCTATAAGCACTTCTAAACAATCTAATCACAGCTTTTCACTTTCTGCTACATAAACAATCTAATCACAGGTTTTACACTGTCAGCTATATAACAATTTGATTCAACTAGCACCTAAGAGTAAGGAATTTAGCATGCCACTAACACTCTATTTGCGGCTTCTTATATCATGTTTTTTTGACGGGAAGTGATTTCTGCACACCCTTTTGACCTTTTGCACTCTTCTGTTTAATTATGACCCTCGATCTCCATTTTAATGTAATTGATAATAATGGAGAGAATTTCATAGCTACGAAATCTGCCATTCAACTTCTGGTTGCCAGCATCTTTTATTTCGTTCCCTTTGAAAGGCTGTTGATTTTCTTTTGGCATTGATTACTTGAAATTTAGAGTATATTGACTTCACTTTGTAACCCAAATATGCTTGAAACACTTTTGATATGCCTTCTTTATAGGATCATCGTCATCTGCTCGCGCACAGCTGGATCTTTTGAGCAACTTACCTCTTCTAGCTCATCAGTTGACGCCAGTATGCACTTCTGTCCATTTACTGAAACAGGCACAAAAACGTATCATGTGTTGCTCAGAAATTTGAAGAATGGGAATGCTAATAAGTTACATATTTGATTGCCAGGTTATGTTAGTGATGGCAACTCCCGAAAACTTACAATCCGTCAGCAGCTAGCGCAGTTGGTTGGGGACAGAGACGGGGATTTCATCATTCCACTAGGTAAAAACTTTAAAAAGGTGAGTGCCAAGGCTCTAACCGTCTCTCAGAAGCGAAATATCAAACGACAGGCTTACTTAAACGAAGTATCGAAGAGGAATGATTCAGTTTTCTTTGCCACCATTGGAGCATTTGTGCTTGTTCCACCTCTTGTAATATTAGGAATCGCCATATTGACAGGTTATGTACAGCTTTTCCCATGACATATATACTACTGAACTAATATATAGAAATTCAGTTCACTATAAAATTTGGAGATGCAGTGCTTCAAATGCTTCATTGTTTGTTCAAAGGAGGTACATACACCGACTTCTTGGAATCGCATTCCCTTACTTAGTAAAACTCTACAATCTGTTTATAATCACAGAATCTCCAAATCTTATACAGAATCCTACTTACAAACTTCCGCTAATGGTGTGTGTTACCAAATAATTTCAAAATATACCAAAACACCATTAGTTCATCTTATTGGAAGAATTCCTCATCCCAACACCCAGTGTTTCACCTGCTAGAAACACCAACTATTCCTAGAGAAGACGGGAAAATGATTCCCGCAAATCTCGTTTTCCCCTTCTACACTCTCCCTTTGCTTGTCCGTTGATTCTCCTTTCGATCTATTCTATCCAACGGGAGGAGAATAGGGGAGAGAAAGGGAATGCAGAAATCATTCTCTGTGAAAAAGTTGAAGATACTATACATATATATATATATATATTTTATATATTAAGAAAAGAGAACACTTCTCAGCAAGAATCAGTGACTGCTTGCTTTTGCTTTTCTATTGGCAAAAGTACTTGATCTGCAGTGGGCCTTACTGGTTCATGGCCCAGAAGCACTCCTTGCTTTTGGATGTACCACCATTTGTCTTGGAAGAGGTAGAAGAAGGTCATGAAAGAGACTTGAGCAGTGAAAATTATGGTCCAAAGCTTTATGCCTTTTGAGGTCTTCTCATGGTAGGCTTGTAGTCCTGTGTATATGTTGAGGATCCCAAGCAGTGACACTGCAGTTCCAAGAATCCAATGTACAGAAAACCATACGCTTCTTCCCTTGGATCCCCTGTATAAGAATAAAGACTGTAATTAACTCGTAAGTGAAATTATTTTCGCCTTTTATTTCCTCTCACACACTTACTGAAGACTCGTTGCAGAATTTCTGGACTTTTAGATTTGTTGTTTTGATAAGGGGATATTCAACTACTTTAAACTATGAAGCAGGGGATCAAGCTTTGGTGAATGGGGCAGGCCGACTGTTCAACTAGACTAACCCATATTTGCGTATTTTTGCTCTATCAAACAACCACACTTTCCTAGCACCCCAAAGATAAAGCACATTCGTTTTATTTTGTTTTGGTGAGGACATTTGGATTTGATAATTTACCTTTGTGGCCTTATAAACCCCATTAGGGCTTGCAACCATATGAGGCCATATAGGCCTAAGCCAACTCTTTGGTGTTTATTGTTGAAGGAGTTGTTGAAGTTTCTGAAAGACATCACTGCTGCTGCTGTTGCAAGAAGGATAGAGAGCATCTGTTGAACAAAACTAATCAAGCAAGAATTAATTAAAGTCATGTCATGTCGTAATTAATCGAATCGAATCAAAAGCTACTACATATAATTAGTTGTGTGAATGATGGGATTTGACATCAGGGAAATTCAGCACCTAACACTATAATTATGTTCCACACACACATGTGCTAATTAATTTAAAATGAAAAAAATCAGAAGTTTTGAGATTCTAGTTACCCAGAAAATTATAAAGATACTCCTGTCTTGCTCTCTAAGCATTAATCATAATCTCCTTTAACCAAAAAAAAAAAAAAAAAAAAAAAATTAGTTTTAATTTCCTTTCACCATCTTTGTAAGTAAGAGTGGGGCATCTGAACCTAATAAATAAGCTTGTAGCTTAAATAATTTAGTTTTCATAAACACTGTAGTTTTTTTATTTATTTATTTATTATTACATGGAAGGTAGGGTTTGAATCTGCGAAACTCTTAATTGAAGAGAAATATCCTATTCACCACGGAAATCTATCACTTGCAATTTTAATTTTTTTTTTAAACCAAAAACACAAAGAAAAATAGGAAAGACGGGTGAGTCATGTTTCATAAACAAAGCAATTTTAATCGTTTTCAAGTGAAAGAAATCTAAAACTATTGAAAAGTCTAATTAAATGTTAATCTAGATTATTAGAGAGGAGAATGATAATGTAACAGTAAATAGATGATAATGTAACAGTAAATAGATGAACTTGCCTCTGAAAAACCATGAACATAGAAAAGAATTCTGAGCCTTCTTCCACATTCCTCTCTCTGTGACATTCTGATAGCAAGTATTCCTACAGGCATCAAGAACCCCATCGAAGCCCAAAGAAGAAACCCGTGTAGTCTGATTTCAAACGATAAGTTGTGACTCATCTGCTGTAAAAGTCATGCACCAAAATTCTGAGTTATGAGCATTTGAATTCCTTCACAAAGTAATTAGATGGAGTGGAGTATTACCTTATGACTGTTGTCTTTGTTACTGCCTCCACCTTTCATGTGTTCTTGAGAGGAGCTGACGAGCGGCGAAACAAGAAAAAGAAGAAGACTTGAACGAATGCAGAAGAAACCCAGTTTCTGCAGAAACTTCATCTTGCTTTCTCTATGGTAAATGAAGAAACAAACCCTAAGCTTAATGATATATATTTGGGAAAGCGCTCTGGATGTCAGCTGCAGACAATAAGGCATGCTGCAGACACCAAGGCATTTGAAGTGCTTCACCAGTACTTGATTGCCTCTCTCTCTCTCTCTCTCTCTCTCTCTCTCTCTCTCTCTCTCTCTCTCTCCCCCCCCCCCCCCTCCCTCCCTCCCACATGCAAAATACCCCACTTCAAAAACAACAGATATGTCAAAATGTAAGAGAACAAACTGATCAAGAAAGATGCTTAAAAGTTTGTGAGATTAACCATTCAGTCTGTTTCTTTTGGCTTAAAAGAATGCCAAGTGGGATGTCTTTAATGTAATAAGGATGGTAATTGCATGGACGTTGATGGTCTAAACGAATGAGAGTAAGAAAAGAAAGTGGAGGATAATTGAAATATGAATTGATGTTTCAACCTTGTGGGGTTCCACTTTGACATGCTTTTTGGGTTGATGGAAGAGAATGTGGAATTTCATCGACCAAAAAGAATGTCAGGTTTTCTGCTCTCCACTAACCAGTATATGGTGTGCCTGTACATAACTCACAAGTCTAACATGTTGTACCAACCCATTGAAAAAACACAAGGCATTTCACACTTAACCGTAAAGGATTGTCCTGGCACTCGAAGTCTCAAGTTCAAATCCTCCATTTTTTATTTTTGCTTTTTATTGTTTTCTTTATTTCCATTAGAGTTTCCATTAGAGCTCGCTTTAGTGTGAATTTTAACAAAAAAAATATCAAAGATCTGACAGCGGGCGTGCGGACCTGGACGAGGATGTTAGGTAATCAAGCGAGGGAGGTTGTGACAACCCCGGTATTGTGTCTCACATTGGTAAACTACTAGATCGATTTATTTAGTAACTAGTCCTTTTAAATTTTAACTCAGACTAATCCAAGCAGTTAAATTATCAATTATGTATGCCACACTGAACTGAATCAGTTTTACACAATTGCACTTAGATTTAACTAATGATGTAGAACAGATAGCTAAATGAAGTAATTAGTGAATAGTATGGATCATTTCTCGGTATATATTTTATGAGGCAGGTGGACTAAGACAGCGTATGTCATGCATATATACTTTTTGGTTGTGGGAAATCTAATCTTGGATTGCATAAGAAAAGCTATGTGTGTTGTCCTCCCTTTTCAAATACAGCCACCTATGGATTCCTTCAAATTCATGATTACCATTTTGTAACTTATACGTGTTTGCACAGACCCTTATCTTATTTTGATGTTTTTTAGTTGGTAACCTCAATCAACAATCTAAGATTCTAAACCATATTAATCTTAAAGCATAAAAGCGTTTTTGTTTTCCTGATAAAAATAGAGAATGATCAGGCAAGATTAGCTCTTTGTAACGGCGCATGTAGAGCACCTGAACGAAAAAGGCCATTGCACTCAAAAAGTGTTTTTGCTTTATGTTTTTATGGGTTGGGAACTAAAGTAGAACATAATGCACATTATTTGATCTTTATCAAAACTCTATACAGTTTGGATTGAAATTGATGATAGCTCGACAATAGTAGAAACTTGTATATTATATGAAACTCACCTAGTTGTCAAATGTACTAGTAATAGCAATAAAACTGGATGTAATTATAAGAAGCTTAGGCTTAATCAAAAATTATTTCTCCTCATATGATACATCATATGATTAATTGTACACAAGAAATTAAATCCCTTTTGTAGGAGATAATTAAAAAGGAAAAAGGTTTCACTTTACTATTGATAGGATTTTTAGTACCTACGCAAAGAGGGTTAAAATCACATAAAATACTTATAAGAGTACAAGATAATTGCAGTAAGAATGCTTATGCAAGGTGGTTCTCGGCAGGAATTATTTAAAACAATTAGCACTTCAAAAATCTCATTTGACACTCCAAACTTTCTATAATTAGAAAGAAAAATACACTTGTGAGGAGTGTAGAATGAAAATTTTAAAGTACTAATAACAATTCCCTATTTGAAAACCAAATCTTAATTGATTATTTGAAACAAAATTTAGAAAATGTTGATTTTGAAATTTAAAACAACAAAGTTTAGGAAAAGTCGTTGATTTTGAAACACAGTTTACTGTTGTGATTTGCAGATAATTGATAGGATTAAGATGTTAAACATCCTTAACAGGCTGTACGTAAGAAGAACCATGATGAGATATGCTGTTTTATAATTACCACATACTAAAGGAGGGATACATCAGAATATCACATGAACCAATCATAAAAGTTCCTAGCTAATGTTGTTGACATGTCACATTTGATTTTAACATACCAACTGATGGCGTTTTGGGTGAGGGTTGACCCACCAAAAAAAAAAAATAAAAAAATCACTAGCTAGGTTTTGTTGAGAGGATAAATTTCACTTCGAGGAAAAGATGACCTTCTGTGTGCTTATAAGTAATTGAGTTACTCTCCATATTTCATTTGTCAATTAGTTTCATGATGGAACCTCACCTTTCTTATGCAAACCTGGGAAGGAGGATTGGGATTTCAAGATTTACATGCCTATAATTTGGCACTAGCCAAGCAAGGCTGTCGATTTTTACAGCAACCGGACTCCCTAGTCACATGTCTATTTAAAGCGAAGTATTCTCCGGATTGGCATGGCCAAGGAAGCTGCTGATGCTGCCTGTCAGGCGAAAGATGGTGAATTGCTTGGTCGACTCAAATTGACTCTCTCACAAAATGTTGCAGCTTCATCAAATTTTCACACTTTTAGGGACCGATTCGTTTCTTAGTTTTTCTGCCTCCATCCTATCCCTTTGTTTTTAATTTATTCTTGTCGACGATGCGTGCGCATATTCTTAACATTGTACCTGACAGGATGAATATGTAAGGACGAATGAGTTTCGTTTTCATACACGATATATTGTATGCATTTGTGAATTGTGGCCATCAGTTTAGGTCATATGATCTGTTGTGAACTGTGAGGAAGGATCGCTCAGTAGAAGAAATAAACAAGTAGTGGTGATATAGGACTGTTTTGTAAGGGATTTTGGGTTAAAGTGTAAGGGTTTTTTGTAATTGGGTTCAATTGTAATCACCTAAATCTTTAGTGGAGTCCACTTAATTAGTTAGTGGTGTCCAGCTGGCACACATGTAGCGGGATAAAATACACATGGCGCGTGGTAAATGGTGGCCAGAGGAAATTGTAATGGCATCGTGGAATTAATCAATAGAATATCCGTCTCTCTTTCTCTCTACTCGGTCCCTTCATCACTGTCACCATAGCTGCCATTGCAGGTCTGGTTCTTATCATGATCATAGTTTAGTTTTGGTACTACAAAACCGATTTCATGAATTTTGGTCGTGTGTTTCCAAATTCCCCGCTCTTTGTTCCGCTCGTCCGTGACCACATTTGATATCTATCCTGCCAGAACAAAGGAAACACTCTAGTTTATTACATTACGTTCTCAGGGTCTCGGATGGATAATCAATACTCCGAATCTGAATTACATTACAACGGTTTTCATCAAGGCGAACAACTCATGCAAATAGGCTGGGAGAAATGCAACACAAAACGTCGATACTTGCGCTAATGATATAAGATAATACTTTTAAGAAACAAGCTCAACCGTGACCAGATATGCATCTTGTTTACTCAGTCACCTTCAAGGATGCATAAGCTGAATTCTCATACTTGCCATCCCACCTGAAATTGAGTAAATAAAAGCAACTCGTCATTCTTTCTTTTCCGTTGAACTACCTATTTAGCCACAGCTTTGTTCAGATACAAGAGACACGAAGCTGCATTTACCTGTTTTCTTCCTGTTCCTTAATCTGGAGCTCCAAATCTTCTTCGAACGGCTGGAAGACCAGGTCTAGTTTCTCATCCACCACATTGTCAAGAGACGGCGGGTTCCACTACAACCAACAACAATACACATTTTCTCGTTTTAGAAATGACTGTAATGTTTAGATAATTTGATCTCTGGTCATAACACATAGAACCGGAAAACGATTAATGGAAAGAGAGGGATTACCTTGGGAGCATTATCCTTGTCAATAGTGAGAGCTCTAATACCCTTCATATCAAAATACAAGATTAGTACACTCCGAAAGCAGGGAGCGAGATGGTATTTTCAGCATAGGAATGTCCATAGTTATATGGTCTAGTTAGTTATCGTTATACAACAATTACCTCATACACATCCTCAGAAATTTTGGACCGCAGTATATTCATTGTGAGTCTAAATTCCTTCTTCATAGATTCAGGCAACGTTTGCTTCCTGCCTTCACGAATCTGGAGAATAAAGTGGCAGAAGCAACTTAAGCAAGCAATGCATCTATAAAGCAAAAGGAATTACGCATGGGTTGCATTCCCGTGGATGTTCAAATCAAGAGAGACAAAGACCACAACAGATGATGCATCTTTAGGTGAGTCTTAAAACATAAATCTTGTATACCTTTCAGGCTTGCATTAACCAAAAACACATGAAAATTCCCCACTAACCAAACAATACTACGGCCACGAGGACTCAAACCGCAATATGCATCTGATCAAACTGCAAGAAATCATACCGATCTCAGTGTTATTGTCAACCCTGTTGGGGATGATCTTTTTAAGCCCTTGAGATGTGGACCTATCCATCCATTTCCTTCTTTCTTTGCCTCTGCTTCCTGGGAAACAAACACATATGTTGAATTTATGCTTGAGAAAATGCATGAATCTACAATTGTTCGTTTATCTGTTAATTAGAAATGAGAAAAAGCAACTTACAAATGATTGTATAATCTCAGCCACTGTATCTTTGGAGAAGCACTCGTCAATTACTGACAGCCTGTAAGGGGAGGAAAGCTTAATGATATCGACATAAGGAGCTTTGAATGTTGATTCGAAGGATTGAAGTAGAACTAGAAATTAAGAATCAGCAAGTAAGATTTTTTTTTACTTGTTTAAAACACTTTCTTCATCAGGCTTGACTTCCACAGAAAATTCTTCAATTGCAGCTTTGACCGAGTTCTCATTTCCGGAGTTCAAGCTTATCAAACGCTTCTCTAGATCGGATAATTTCTGATGCACATTGTACAAAACCAATTCAATATAAAATTTCAGTTTGATATAATAAGTACAAAGAAGACTGATATCAACTTAGCTGATATCGTTACCGATGACTCAAAACAACCAGAGAAAATGTAGTAACGTACAGTGCAGTCATTTAGATTTTCAAATCTTTTGAGGCAATCCTTCCAACTTTCCAAGACTTGGTTTTCGGTGGAGGAAAAAATTATAGTGAAGAGTGAGAAAATTACCTCAAGAGGGACAAAATGGGTTGCTAGTCCAACCGCAACCAGCTCCTTACCATTCAGTCTTGCTCCTGTTAAGCCCAAAAACTCCCCTGCATTCCCCACATGATATCAATCAGTTTCAGAAAAAATGCTGGAAACTTTGTTTTCCTTTTTTCAGCATGCTTACCGAGATACCCAGGAAGATGGGAATGCATATATGAGAAACCGCAATCTGTATGAAATCCAATACTAGCTTCTGGAGTGGAAAAAACCTATCATGAAATATACCACAGAAAGTTTTGATGTCACTGTGCAGAAATAGATATCAAGCCTGACGAACACCAAAGATGGAGATGTTACTCACAGTTTTTTCAGTGACTACTGAGAACTTCATTGGGACCATCAAAGATGCGCCTCCACCCATTGAAATTCCATGGACCAAAGCCACCTAACCATAACATGAATGTTTCGGTGATAGCTTCAACAATAACGTAAACTTGAAATATATGCATCACAAGAAAGCTAGGATTACTTTCTTTTGAAGCATTACCTGGGTTTTCTTGTAAGTATGAATGTGGTAGCAAAGCCAATACATTCTGTAAACAACTTCAAGGCAGGGATCCTCTGCCAAAAGAGATTTATGAGCAAGTTCACTTTTGGTATACATTAGGAACTTAAATATTTTCGCAAAAGAGAACGTTTACTTGATTTCCTGCCGTCATAGAACATTTTCAAGTCCCCGCCAGCTGAAAAAGCTCGGCCTGATCCCTACACAAGAACACCAGAGCATGTCAAGTGGCTAAGCCTAATATCTGTATGCCTACGTTTGTGGCCCAAGTTGAACTGCTTCGTTAACATTGTACATTGACGTTTTAAACAAGGAGCACCAATGGAAGTTCAAGATTCCGGGATCGTTTGAACTAACCTTGATAATTACAAGCTCAGCATTGTCATCTTTTTCCCACTTTTCCAAGTACTCAGCTAGCAAAGAAACCTGATTGCAGTAAAAAACTAAATTAAGAACAGAAAAACACCCGAGAGAAAGCACAAAAAGGAGCATATCGACTTTATTTAACATACCACTTTGGATGAGATGACATTCAATTGACGAGGCCTGTTCAATGTGATCAACCTCACCCGCTCTATTTCTTCTCCAACAATAACCTAAAAGATTATTCCGACAAACACACACATCAAGTAATTCACAGGCAGTAATTCAGCAAAAGTAAAAGAACAAAATTTCTCTTTTGATTCGGGCAATTAGAAATGCAGAAGGTAGATTACCTCATCAGAAGTTACAACTTCTTGAGCCATTTAAACGATTAATTAACTCGCGGGTTATAATCCAACAAACTGTACAAGCAAATTAATCAGAAAGTGAGGAAAAGATGAACTGTTTAATCCCAGATAATTAGGATAATTAGTTCCAGAATTAGGAGCACTGAAGTTCAAATTTTTGAGATGAAAGCTGAAACAGAAACAATTGATCAAACGAAAATGACAACTTACGTTATCAGTCGAATTGTGGTTCTTTTTCGAGAGAAGAAGAAGTTGCAGAGAGGAAAGTTGGGTTGTGAAGAGAAGCTGATGGGGTTAGTGTTGTGTTGTTGTTGATAGCAACCCAAGTAACCGGTCTGGTAGAGAGAGAGAGAGCATATGTTTGGTTTGGTAGAGAGAGAGAGAGAGAGAGAGAGCAAATGTGTCTAACCCTCTCCACGTGTGGTTTCTATCTACCCACCACCACATCCAACTATCACCACCACCACCTCCAACTACTACACCATGGTTTTTATCCTTTGACAAGTAGCTATACTTGTGTTACTGCCACCAAACCCATTGTCGTTACAAACAAGGGGAAATGATTTTCACGCTCTCATCCTTTACACATAAATAGGGTATGCTAAAAGAATGCGGAAATCACTTTATTCTTTTGGTATTTTAGTTCGAGAAAAACTTGATTATCTACGTTTAAAGAATCATTCTTTCTAAAAGATAAATCACAGTTTGATATATGTGCTGAAGCGTTTCTTTACTTTGTTTTATTTAGCACATTGTCTGATTTTCATACATGTAGTTGTCATTTGATCAAATGATATTGGTGAAGGCGGTAATTCAAACTCAAGACGTTTGAGTGCGAAAACGTTCGCTGCGTCCCTCCACTTAGTTGCCGGGAAATCTCACCAGATGCAAATCGAGTGACACATTGTCCCCGATATATTCATCTGCAAATGCAGATTACATGCAGCATGGCGTATGCATTAACGAAATCAGAGCGAAAGCGAAGCATCATAGACGAAATTGCAAGCATGAAATAAAATACCAAGCTCATTAACGTCATTATAAACTTGTGAAGACACGTCGAAACTGTAACATCGCAGATACTAGAAAAAAGGATGTTCACTCCCACAAAACAAAACTTGAGTAACTAGTTTAGCTAATTAAAATGCAAAGCCATCGGAGGAAGGGAACCCGCAGGAGGTAACAAGATTACATAAAGAGGTTGGGCCTGGATGCCTTGTATGTCGTCTTGAGCTTCCTGGATGGGGGCCTAACCTTCCTGAACACCAACGGGAACTTGATCTTGGAGTTATGGAACTGCTTGGTGCTCTCCCTCTTGCAGAGTTTTGCTGGGATGGTAGCTGTCTTGATGATTTGGATGCACGGAAACCTCACCCTGTGACGAGATGCCAACTCAGTGTACATGGCTTCAACAGCACCATTGAGAGTTGTGTCTCGGTACTCCTTGTACATGTTGTGATAACCAGTTCGGCTCTGATATCGAAGCCAAATTCCATAGTTCTTGATGGTAGTTGGATATTTCTCAAAAATCTGCAATCAACAATATCAGAATTACTCTTTTCAACCCAAATACCCTGAATATTACACGGTAAAGAAAACTAGCAAACAGTTCGTCTCAGTGCCAATATGTTCAACTTAGTGTCTGCAATACTACAACAGAAGTAACACATCATCTAATATATTAACCGGCAACAATATATTAAAAGTTAAACCTTAATTTGCGACCTTATTAAAGAAGCTGCTATCGCATAATATAAGTGTATATCTAAGGAATAAAAACCCTGAACTTTTATCATAACAATATATGAAACATTATTACAAACTGGGTTCACAGTCAATTACAGGTTAAGCATAAACAATCAAACTAGACCGAATTTTCATATGAATTACGGCCCAGCTTAAGAGGCCAACAAACATTAGGCAAAACAACAAATTAGATCATGTTGGTTTATAGAGTACAAGAGAGATGACAGAAACGTAAAATGCATACCTCGTTGATGGCCAAAACTTGTCCATTGCTTTTCTTCACTTTCTTCAACTTCCTCAAGAAGTACCTAATACAATAAAATCAAACAGGAGAACAACACCCAATCAGATTGAAACCCCGAAAACATAACAGAAGTTGACGCGCTAGTGAACCATGAAAATTTGATTAATCTTATACAAATTTAAATATTTCCATCGCTTTTCGGTTTACAGGCAGGCCAAGACCAAAACAAACATGACAACAACCATTCTACGACTCGACTTCCTGGCCCGTGCTATCATCCTATAGTAAATTCAAAATGCAATCAGTTGGTTCATCTCACAAGAGCAAACAAGTTTCTCACTTTCCTTGTTATACTTTGATATACACCATTCAGAAATAAATAAATAAAAGGCACTACCAAATACAAATTAGTAAGATTCGCAGGCATAGTCAAGTGTGGGATTAGTTTATCTGGTGTCATAAACCCTAAATTTATCAAAAATCTTAGATTAAAAATTAAATCTTTTTCCATTTCCAATATTTTTCAGCAACTAAATAAAATAAACAGATGAAAAAGCTCTTACCAGAACTTGGATTTGGCACGGACCTCATTGGTGGCCCAGAGCTTCATCCGGTAGATCTTGGGATGCTCATCCTTCTCAGTCGGGAGGGCTCTCCCCACCACCTGGTACTGGTGAAACTGTTCCCATAAAACAAAACCCACCATTTTAATCTCTCCAAATCCACGTTTTCAGAAACCAAAAAGCTAAAAAAAAAAAACGATTGACAACGAAATAAAAATCACAAAAATAATGAAAGCGTGGAAATTGATTTCTGAAAACAAAAACTGGGTTGTGATAGATAAGATCGAGAGAGTAGGATCATTGCGGCTCACCCTGAAAACACCCATTTTTCTGCGATGAGGGAGAGAGACGCCGCTGCTCTGGCTGCTGACTGCTGACGGCTGCTGGCTGCAAGAGCAGTTTGTCTTCCACGACTCTATATCAAGTGAAGGTTTAAAAACCCTAATTCCTCTGGTTGGTGTGTATGGGCCTTCAAAGTTGATGTAGGAGCCCAACTTTTATTTTTCTGCTGACAAAAGCCCAAATTTTATGGGCTCAATATTTTAATTCATGCCCAAAAATATACCAGTCGGAACGAAATTGGATTTTCGAGTTTCTTGCATTATTAAAATATCAGAAGAATACAAGTCTCTCACTGAAATTTATAATAAAATACCAAAAAATAAAAATTAAATTAATTGAAAAAAGGACTAGTTGATTTGATTCTCTTTCCTGGTCAAATCTTCGCATGAATTTTGATTGGACTCAAGTAGCCCATCATGGTTTTGGTTTGTTTTCCGACTCCTGAGTGTGGGCTGGGCTAGGTTTCATTGAACTTTCATAGGACTCAAGTAACCCATTATTTTGCATGCGTTGAGGGGCAGATGTATGGGAAGTGCACAAAAATGACACCCTTAAAATTTGCTATTACAAAAAAATGTGTAATATCCACATACATTTTTTTACTTCTTATATACTCTTTATTTATTTTTATCCTCTGATTTTCTTCAATTCATTCAATCCGGCGGCCAGAAATTAAGAATGTGCGTGAAAAGTAAAAAAATGTGTGTGGATAACACACCCCTTACAAAAATGACGCCAGGTTGTGATAGATAAAAAAATGACCATTTTCAAAAACAAAAAATGGATGTAAAAAGGCGAGACTACTCTTTTCTTGCATAATAACATTTACAGAAATGATAAGTAACAATCACATATTGATTATACACTGATGACGTAACGATAATATAGCAACAACACAACGATGATATAATAATGATACAATAAATATTGATAATTTCTGCAACAAAATGTCAAAATATGTTATTATATCGTCATTACATCATCATTGTGTTGTCATTATATTATAATTGTGTCCTTCATAAGGAGAGAGATTTAACATGCTTCTCTAAAAATTAAAATTAAGTAAAGGAGAACCTCTTCTTTTTGCATCCATAGCGATTACAACTTGGTGTTAATTTTGGACTAGTAAGGGTGTCATATTGCTCCTTTTTCCCAAACATTTCTAGTAGGGTGCACATTCTAGCGTTTAACTGGTTGTTTATTCCCTCTTCAGTATCACTCAATTTAAACACTGGTCACGAGAGATATAAAAGAGAGACATAAATATTGGGTTACATATAAAAGAATTTGCCTTTGGAGAAAGCCATAAACAAGAGCATGACAGCAAGATAAACACTTATATAGAATAGATTCACAACCATCGTAGCGTTTCGTTCTAATAATGGAATTTTCATGTGTAATTTTTTAAGATTATGTTATTAAAATGGAATGTTATGTCGGTAAAACTTGTTTCATGTAAATTAATCTCTACAAACAGGTTTAGCTTGTGAATGTGAATGGAAACCCCTGACTTCTGGTTAGAAGCATTGAAAATAGTTAGTTGATTGGTCTCGTCTTCTCGGACCCCGAATCCCAACTTGCAAAGAGAGATAGTTATGAGTCATGATGCTTTGTACCTTGCAATTAAAGGCAAGAAAATGCAAGTCCTAATGCCCTACGTATTCATGTTATGTGTGAACTTTAACAAGTAACCTTTTGAACATTTCGACTTGCTAGAGTCACCTCAAAACCTTTTCAATGTCAAATCTCACTTGGCTTGCCCTCATCCAATTTTTAGATATGTCAAGGTCTTCAAGTAACAAAGTTGGAGACAACACCGTTACAATAGCAGGTTGACGAGCGTTATCTCCGCCACAGACGGTGAAGCCACTAATACATGGTGGGTCAGACAGTTTTGAGAAAAAGAAGAAGGCATATCAAATTGGTCTCTTGGAAGCCCTAAACGATGACTTAGCATCAGTTTTGGTTTCAGATGATCTTCTCCAATAAGCCACCATGCAAAGCAATATTTGGAACATAACAAGGCTGACTTGGCTCTTATGACAAAAGCTATGATCCTCTAAATAGGAATCTATTCATTTCTTCTACAATGACAAATATATCCAAGGCATTATCACAAATTGTCATGCGAAAATTAACGTTTTGTAACGGTAGTTTAAGTCAATTATTGATGTCATGTATGCAGAGCCCCTTTGAATTGTGTAAGCTTAATTATACTTGTAAATTTGTAATATCAAATGTATATACAGAAATTGAAATCAATAGAGAAGTTGCGACAGCCCAAACCAAACAGTTTGACTTGTTCTTTGTTTTATTCACACTATATATATTAAAGTTTTCATACACCTAAATAATTGACCAGGTATTCATCATAGTAATATATAGTCCAAAGAGTGTTAGGCTTCAAGATAAACAAAAATAACGTAGAAAAATAAAAGGTTAAGAAAGAATTAGAATTTCATAATATCAAATCAAAGTTGACA